AATAATTAAATTCCCCACACAGAAGAGGCACGTGGTTTGGCTTGAACCGGAAGGTAATTTTGCATAGGATTCTTATTTCTTGTAAGGCTACACTTCTGAGCTTATATATCCAAATGGTATCTCAATGAGCTTGCCTGAAGATGTCCAAGAAAAGGTTATCAAATCCATTCCTGGGCTTGAGGATGCTAAAATCCATCAATTTGGTAGAAATCTGGCCATCAATAACTTTTTAGCTTATGGCGTGGAATATGATTTTGTCGATCCCAGGCAATTGCTTCCTACGCTCGAGACAAAGAATGTTAAAGGCCTTTATTTAGCCGGCCAAATTAATGGCACAACGGGATATGAAGAGGCCGCTGCCCAAGGTGTCATTGCAGGGGCAAATGCAGGGTTATCGGCCAAATGCCTTCCTCCTTTTATTCTTGACAGATCAGAGGCATATATCGGTGTTCTCATTGACGATCTCTTGACAAAAGGCGCCCAAGAACCTTATAGAATTTTTACAAGGTAGGTGTTTACATTCCATTTCCAGTCGATCCGAATACAGAATTAGCCTTCGCTCGGACAATGCTGATTTACGTCTCACGATGAAAGGGCACAAGCATGGCCTGGTATCTGATTTGGTCCGGACCCAAAAGGCGACTTTTGTTAATGACTGCATCAACAATGCCATTTCCATGTTATCTGAGCATTCGTACTCTCCTCATGCATTTCTCACCAAGGGAATATGCACAGTCCCTTTAGACGGTATTCGTAGAAGGTTTTTATTGGCGTATTATCACACTCTTAGCTATTGGGACTTATTTCAAATGAAAGCTGTCACTTTCGAAAAACTGGCTGAAATCTTTCCTGGGTTAAGCGACATTCCTAGGGAAATTGTTAACAGAATATGTGTAATGGGTATTCTTTGTGTTTCTAAGAGGTTAGCATTATACGCCCCCTTGATAGCCCAGCAGGAAAGGGAGTTAAGACTGTTTAAAAGAGACGAGCTTGCATTGATTCCTCCAAATATTGATTATGGGTCGTTGAAGCTTTCTGCAGAAATATCCCAAAAGCTCACCCAGCTTAAGCCGACAAACATTGGGATGCTTAAAAGATTGGAGGGTATCACACCAACTGCGATCATTCAAATATTATCAGAAATTCGAAGAATTGACCCTCTCACGGCAAACCAGAGATAAACGAAGTATTTATTACGTGCAAATCCCATAGCCAGCCAGCTGACCGGCCAGTGGCCATTGTCATCTTTTGGACTTTGCGGCTTTTTCCTTTAAGGATACAATTTCCTTGTTTGCCTTTGACAATTCGCTTGTCATTGCATAGGCAAACTTTATGAGAATCGGGAAATGGTATCGATAAACATAAAACATTGCTTCAATTTCTTCGCATAGCCCCAGAGCTTGTTTTGTGTTTTTGTCGCTTTGGTCGAGCTTTGTGAAAATTTCCTTGAGCTTTGCGGTTGATGGCTCTTCTTTTGGCAAGTTGAGCAGTTCGTTTGCAATGTTAATGCCCAAATCGGTATCTGGTCCCGACAAAAATACTGTCGAATTTTTTCTTAAATTGGACGAGGACTTTACCCATTTTGGCAGCTTCTCCTGAAGTGCTGCAATGTAATACTCCTCGGGTCTATTATTTTGTTCTGATGCTGGCTTCTTTTTTGGTGGCTCGGTTTCAAGGTTCCGTTCCGCTTCCCTTTCGCTTTGTTCCTCTTCATAGCATAAATCTTCGTCTCGCTCATTTGATCGTCTTTTATGTTTTGGATTTTCGCGTTTGGCTGCCGCAACCGCTGTAAAGTAAAAAGGAACAAAATATGAGTCGTCTTTGACGACAATGCTTTGATGGTGCGTGTTCAAGATTTCAATGTTTTCAGTCGGGGTAATAAGATTTTCCAATACCGATTCACACTGTGTAATCTTCATTGCATTGAACAATCGAACCGCCTTTTGCAAGCCGCCGATGTCGTCTGGTACTTTATTTGCATCGGCTTGTACATCGTGTTTTTGATCAAGCGATGTTGTGAATTTTTGCGTTCCATCATATCCCCAGTCTTCCTTCTTTGGTATGCTTGTTATTGCTAGTGCTGTTGAAATTGTCTTCAGAATACAAGTCATAAAAATTTCTGCCAGATTCGGTTGATTTAATTCCCTTTTCATCCAATTATATCTCTACGATCCATTTCAGCCTATCATAGCACTGAAATTGGTATTTTAAAAATTGACCAATCATTTTCTTTAAAATTGATAAATTAAATTGCCGAAATAATTAAACCCTTCACATCGATCTCTATTTCTGGCTCGGGCAGCGGGGCATTGTTATAATTCAAATATCATCATGTCAATTTGGTATGTATAGTTTATTTAATCAAAGCTGAAGCGAGGTGGTCAAGCACATGTGCCATGTTGCTACTGAAAACGATGTTTTGGGACGTCATTTTTAGCCAGAGCGATTTTAAGGGCCATCATGAAATTTGCAAACATATTGGAAATAAAATTTACACCAACATTTAATATCAATTGAAGCCAATCGTAACTTTGTGTATACCAATCAGAGGCGGTCTAAATTTGCATCAAAACTAGGCTTCTTATAAGAACCACCAGTTTCCGCTGCAATATTCAAGCCAAAACAGCATGGAAAGTCCTGATGGAACCTCAAATTTAGATCTAGTCTTTTCATATCATATGAATGAGGATGACTTCATAGTGGTTGAGTTATCCCCGGCATAAAATATGCGCCCTGCCTGGTCAATTATTGCGTTCGTTTATTATTAAACCTGAACAATCAAAATTCTAAGGAGAATGGCTATAATTATTAGCGCAAGGGACAATAGGAATATATGACCACGAGTTAGGATGCCTGGCCCAGACACTGGATATACGGAAACCGGGAGAATATTTAAATATCCATCTGGCGAACCAGAAATGAGATGCTGGGAAAAATTTACAAATTCGAGACAAGTTGGAGGAAGAGAGTGGCAGTTTTTGAAGGATTGGAACACCTAGTGTTACAAAAAACACGTGTACTTTAAAGCTATGCGCACAATAATTGACAATGTCGCCATTGGAAAACCCTACCGCAAGAACCAGGCCATTGGAACTACATGTCAACATGGTATGATAGCACACCTGATCGCCAATTGTATAGCGGTATGCTTTGAGCTTATCAGAACTTGCCGCTGCAGTTCCCACACCTGGGTGTCTTGGTCGATTGCAAAGGAATAGAGAAAGGACGAATTATTGGAGTTCAAGTTCGAATTTACAACGGCATATCCAAACCCGTTGGTGGCCATTGTTCCAAAGCTAACATGAAAACGAGTAAACATACCAAAAGGAGCGGATCTTTATGCTTTTGATGGCATCTGCCTTGACGGTTTGGCGCTTATCCGCCATAATGTTGATTGAGCCGTTTTTCGCATCAACAGAAAATGTAAAGATGTGCACAAACGTTGACGTGGTAATGGCTATGAGCTGCTGAAAGGCGTCGATCGACTTGATATCGGACATTGATTCAAGCTGAAACTGGTCGCTAATGGACTCGTATTTGTCGTTGATGTACGAAAAAATCTGTCCGCTGGCATATAGCACGAAAAACTTGTCTGCATCGATACGCTTGACCAAACGAATAAAGTCGTCATCGGCAAGTGAAAAAGACTCGGATTTGGGGTTGGTTATGTGAAACTCGCCCGAATCCTTGATAGCCTTGACTACTTTATCGCCGACGGCAACCAGAAATTCGGTGTCCGAAATAGACCTCAACCCAAGAACTGTGTCTTTTGTTGAGCAGAAGGGGGCCTCCTCTGCATTAAGTGGGATGCCGGACTCGCTAGAGATGGCCATGGAAGTAAATCCGTTTGGAATGCCTGTTTTGGAAGTACCACCGCCACCTCCAACGTAAAGTGTATACGAATCGTGACTTTGCTGCGAAACGCTAGCAATGGAGTAAATGGGAAAGTTTCTGGACGAAAGGGTGGCACATCTGCCGTTAATCTGAACTTCCGTTTGGAAGGAAACACTTTTCATCACGGGGATTAAAATCCCATTTCCTTCCAAAGTTAATTTGAAGTTGAATTTAATTTCCGTTTTACCAAATGGCGGACGACGGCCAAAGCGAAAATCCATGTTCTCCACAAGACCAAAGCAAAGATTTATGCACCACAGCGAGCCAAATGCCAGGTGTCAAGGATGGCTCCCCAAAAGCACCTAAACCGTCAATTTTAAAATCTAAACACCAAAAGACCATTGTTTCTGGCAAAGCAGACTGTGATGATCTGGAAAAGAAGGAGGATCCCCTTCCAGACCAATTTGAGGCTCTGCTGTCGCAGACTTCTCAGTACCAGCCGCCACCGCCACCAACCAAAACAGTGCTTGCAACGATTCCCACCGATCTTTGGATCAAACTGTTTACCTACTCAGCGGCATTGCTTATTGTTCCGCCGTTTGTGTGCTTCGCTGGCTATCGGTATTTCTTCCCCGATAATTTGATATTTTCGGCGGTTTTTTCGATCGTTCTTGCAAATTTGATTGTCGCCTCCTTCATATATGCTGCCTTGACTGAGGATGGCGATGAGAAGGAAAAGTTTGAATAAATTTGTTTTATTAAACACGATCAGAAGATCACCGCCTAATTCCATATTCTTCATCGTCAGAATCTACATCTTCATCGTCGGAAACAGGGTGTTTGTTTGTGGTGGATATTTGGGTGATTTTCTTTGTATCTGCGGTGGTCTTTGCAGGCGTGAGCGATGGGTTTAGCCGCCTGAACTCTTTGGATTCATGGTCGATTTCAAAGTCAGCGTTTGAAAACAGCTCTGTAAAGCGGGAATCAACAAGCGCGGAACAGGAAGGATCTTTGGAAGAGCTCTGTAGTCTTTCTGCAAGTTCAGAATTGACCTTTGGAAGGTTCTTGCGTGTAATTCTGGTGGACGATTCCTTTGCAARCTTGTCCTTGACAAGTTTTTTCTTGTACTCTTCGTAAGCAAACGGATTTGCAATGGCCTTGGCCTTTTCATATAGCCTGAAATCGATAAAAAAGCCGTGCATGTAGGGCTTCAAAATGTTTGTTCCAATCAAATGGGACAGACACAGGCTAAAAGGTAAACGTTCAAATGCAACACAAACCTTGAAAGGTCTTCTCTCCTCAAGAATTTAAAGTTATCATAAACGGTCGGTTGGGGGCTCTCTTCCATCTCCTCCGTGATGTTATCCAAAAACGAGCACCATTTTGGGGCAGGGCCGAGGGCCGGTATGAAAAAGCTTTGCATTTGTGGCCCTTCGTTGGCCATCAGAAAAATCCCTGTTTTTTGCTGTATACAGAGGTCATTAAGTTGCGATGGCGGCTCAATGGTGGCCATCAACTGGCCTGAGACGCGATCCCAGACTTTGACTATCTTAGCGTCTGCTGAGACAACTTGGTGGCTGCTTTCATGATAATCGATTTTTTTGATTGGCAGGTCATACTGATGCTCTTTTTCCAATATCGGGTCAGGAGATCTGATATCATATATAAAGACAGAGCCCGAATGCAGCCCGACCGCCAAGTTTAGGCCGTCCGGAAAAAACTTCATTGTAGAAACGGAGGTCGAGTTGACAATGGGGTTTCGGGGCAACGGCAGCCTACCAACGGGTTTCCGGTGCCTCAGGTCACACAGCATAACGAAGCCACCATCGCCTCCAATGGCAAGTAGCCGATGCTGCGAACTTTGTTCAATCGAGTCGACGGACGAAAAATGTCTTAGCCCATTGATTCCGGTTTCAAGTGGAGCTAAAAACCGCCCCTGGTCTAAATTCAAGCGATAAATTTCGGACGATGATCCGCAAATTAGAAGATCGGCAGAAACTTTGTCATAAAGGAGTTCTCTTCCAGCCTTTGGTATCCTCGTTGAATAATGAAGTCCAGCCTGTGTATGGAATTCAACGGTCCTGTCAGACTGTAGAAGAGCTAGCTTTGTCCAGTCGTCTTCTAACAGCACAAAAGATCTTGTTTCGGCATTTGTATGGCGTTCAAATTTTAAAGATAGGTGGTTGAGATCAAAAACCCTGATTTGGGGCTTGTAAATACCGGTGGCCACGATACTCTGACCATCCTGCGTTAGCATTAGCCGATTTGAGGCTTCTGGAAATTCAAAATCTTGGATCAAGTCTATCCGTTTGCCGAAATCTAAATAATTAAGCCGCCAAAAGTTGGATACCTGCGTCTCTCTTTAACCTCTTTTTGTGTTTATTTATCAGCCATTCCGGTAGCTTGGCTGTGTTGTAGCCAGAAACATTGTAAATTTTAGTGTTATCATAGTGCTGAACTGGAAGGACCATAAGGCAAAAAAATAAAATGCAACGTTTTTTTAATCAATTTCAATTTAATTTTTCAAGCTAAAAATTTCATCAAGCACTTGTGCCAACGTATGCCCCGCTGCAATTAATAAATCATCCATGACGTTGAAAGCATTTTTTTCATACTCAGAATGGGCGATTTCGAACACCTTTCTGCTCAAAACATCATTCCAAATGACAGGCGCATAATTGCAATGAACCTATCGAATTAGAATAAAAGTTACCATGGAGGTCCACTGCACAAACCATTCTAGGGATAAGATTGCATGTTGTTGTGTTTGCTGTTTCCCATGCTTATTGCTGGCATATTTTGAGGCGGTTTCCTGAGCTAGCAGCGCCAGGAGATATTGCTCGTAGGACCCTTGATGGTGTTGCTCGATTTTGCTAGAAAGAAGATGAGTATCCCACATCGAATGAAGATCGATCGTTTTCCCGTTATACGAAACGATCCTTTCATTTCCACCTCTCTCTTTCCCACAGAGATGAAGAGGCTGATGAGCGTCTCCAAGCAAATGGATGATAAACATTAGAGATTCTTTAAACTCCTTTGAGGAAGAGTGGTCCAACTGCTGCCGCTTTTCTTTCCCATTGAAAAGACTCATCTCAATGTGTGGTAAGATCGTCTCAAATTGATAATAAAGCTTTGTGCAATATTTGTGCATAGCTCGAATGATGCAATGATCGTTGGGGCAGGATTTTGCATCAAATGGGATTTGTGGACATCTTTGGTTATCGTGAAAAGAGAAAGGCTCTGGACTCTCCCAATCTGACATATAGTGTTCGCGAATGGTTTGTTTGTAAAGCGGATTTCCTTTAATTGAATCTGGCCAGTTAGCAGCAGCACAAAGGGCAGTTGCCGTCGGAAAAAAGGTATCCAAAACAGACTTTGAATACTCCGAGGACCACGAATATCCCAAGATTGCGACAAGACAATGTCCTGTGGGGCCATATGCGCCGGCTTGCTGAAAGAAAAGCACGGACGTCATGGTGAGAAAGAGGATCGCATCCAGAAGATGACCTGATAAATGCCTGGGAGTAAGCATTTGAGTGAAGAGGTGGTCGATCTAACATAAATCCAAAAAAGGAAAATGATGATTGGGCCGATTTTGAAATTCATTTCTGTATTTTTTGATCTGAATTGATGCGTCTACGCTAATCTATGATCTATTTGCTGTTTTATTCAAAATGGAATTCAACGGCATGATTGTGCATCGCTTTTTTTGCTGGGTACAAGTTGTGTTTGTGGCGGGACACACATCGCATTTTGCTATGCGTCATGTGACTTGCTTTGTTGTGAGTCACCTGACTCCTGTTTGTTGTGAGTCACCTGACACCCGCTTGGGGGCAAACATCAATGCTGAAAAATCGACTTTTCCGTGCTTTGTGGAACATGGGGAGGCGGTCGATTATGGAGCTATAGAAACGTTTTATTGATAAATCGTGCAACGATTAGGGGAAGCAATCAACTGTTGAAGCCTTTTTGTTGATCATCTGCAATGGGATAAATATCCTGGGGATAGGAATAGGGGAATTGAAACAACAGCTGGTTAGCTGCAGCATAGTCAATAAATACGGGGGTTTGAGAATAACAAGGGCCCTGTACGGGTATTTCATATTGAGCGGCAGAGAGCGTTTCTGGTATCACTTTCAAGTCATGAGCTTGAGCCGGGATCGAGTTGGGATTGTAATGGTAGAAACAATACTTGCCATTGACATTGGACATCTCTTGTGATCGATCCATTGACAATAAAGCATCGTTGATGGCCGGAGAGGCCGAAAGGGGCGTTGAGCCTTGCGATGGATGCAAAAACGAACCATCACCGATGATATTGTCGTTCACGGAGAGAGGCAAGTTTCCCAACAGGCTCGAGAACATGGCCTGCTTTTCCATCGCATACCTATATTCATCCTGCTGACCTTGAGCAATGTAGATCTACATAAATAGCGTTGATAACGGAACGTGAAGCACAAACCTGTTTGTGGGAATCAGGCAGGGAAGACCACATTTCGCCTAAAATCTTGCTGATTTGTCCAAACGAACACGACGGGTTTTGCTTGGTAAGCGACTTTCTGTATTCTCTGCAAAAAAAGATAAACGAAGTCGAGGGCCTCCGCACTTTCGGCATCGGTTTGGGGCTTTTTATCGGGAAAATGGGCACATTGGAGCCGAGAAAATTTTCTCGATTTGTATCGTACACGGAAAAAGCCTCCGCTTTTGGCTTGATGTCGATGGAATAGTCGAGCGACTTTCTCTTTTGAAGCGAGCGGGATGACGAGATGAAAGACGCCTGGTTCAGCTTTTTGTATTTGATGCCGCAGGCATTGCAAAGGTACCTTTTCTGAGCCGCATATTCGGAGCATATTAAAATGCTGCTGCTGCTGTCATTGTCGCTGCCGTGTGCAATGCTTGCCTCATCTGACGAACTGTAGGGGTCGAATGTCAAGGGAGATGTATCTAGGTTCAATATCGAGGAATATGAGTGTCTACGCCAAACGGGCGTCACAAAGGTTCCGCACGAGCAGCATTGCTTTTTGTCCAATGTAAGGGTACGATGGGCGTGTGATTTTGTAGAGATTTGGGGTGAAATGGCGCCATCATCGGTTTCAATCAATGCTTCAGGGATTGGACTAAGCGTGAAGAGATGATCGCCCTTTTTGTGTGTGTTACAAGCTAAAGTGCTTGATGTTGATATTGATGACATCATTGTGTTGAAATTTAGATTTAGCTGTGAGTTGCACATAGGTGGACTAAATAGGTCCAATAGTTAAATAACGTAAGCGGGCACGGGCGACACATCAGGTCCAATAGATTACGTAATGCATGGACAAAACATTGTAATTGCGGGGAAATTGGACATGCCGTAAAAATTAATTTTACACCCTGGCCATGAGGCAAGTTATTTTGCTTCGCCATGACCTGCTTGCGCGTCCAAACTGGACGCTTGGCTCGGTCATAGCACAGGCCATCCATGCATCGATCGATTGCCTACATCAATACAGGAATGATACAAATGTAATAAAATACACCTCCGATGGTGCTCGAGGGTCCATGACCACGATCATATTGGAGGTCCGTGACGAGGCCCATATGGGCGAGCTAAAAGATGCGCTTTTGCATGCGTGCATTGACCACACCATTTGGGTGGAGCAGCCCGAAAATATGGCCACTGCAATTGCACTGAAGCCTTACGAAAAAGAGGGTTTACCTTCATTTTTGAAATCGCTGAAATTGTTTGGAAAAATAAATAAATAAATTCGGGAATTTGCATGATCTTTATTTTTTAGTGGCCAACTCTTCACATGGTCTCTTTTAGATGCGCTGGCTTGGTGCGACAATTCTCTTCGGCAAGCAAATGCCTGTCCGGGCTATTAGGCTCCATGAGTACAGTTTCGTCTTGCGGCGTGGAAAAATATGGCGGCAGATACAACGTCACCCTGATTCCTGGGGATGGCATTGGGAAGGAAATGTGCAATTCGGTGAAAACAGTATTTAAGGCAATGAATGTGCCGATCGACTTTGAGGAAATCGAGGTATCTGGATATTGCAACGACCCATCTCAGCTAAAGGCCGCTATTGAGTCGTTGAGACGTACAAAAATCGGACTAAAAGGTATCCCCGTCGTGTTTTAAATGCCTGTAGGTGTCTTTTACACGCCCATCAACACATCGCATTGCTCTCTCAATCACCAATTGAGAAAGGAATTGGATTTGTTTGCCAACGTCATCCCTGTTAAAACAATCCCTGGAGCCCCTTCTCGATTTACAGATATCGATTTTGTCATCATCCGAGAAAACATGGAAGGTGAGTACTCTGGTCTTGAGCATCAGGTAGCTTCCATTTTTATTTAATCCCCAAGCCTGTTCCTGGTGTGATTGAAAGCCTCAAAGTTACTACGCGCGAAAAAACCGAACGTATCACAAGATTTGCATTAGATTTTGCCATGAGGCAAGGGAGAAAAAAAGTAACCTGCATCCACAAAGCCAACATCATGTAACTTTTATGGTGTCACCGAATAGGAAGGTTACTGATGGCCTTTTTTTGAAAATCTTTCGAGAGGTCTCACAAAACGAATATGCATCGACAAATTTAAAGTTCGAAGAGATGATTGTAGACAACACTGCCATGCAGGTTTGCTTTTCCTGCAAAATAATCCCACTAGATGGTATCCAGGCCTCAGCAATTTGATGTCATGGTTTGCCCAAATCTTTACGGAAGCATATGTGCTAACATTGCTGCGGGCTTGGTCGGTGGCCCAGGCGTGGTTCCTGGTTGTAATATTGGACGGTATGTACTTTTTGGGATTCATTTCAGCGACATTGCTATTTTTGAGACGGGAGCCCGGCATGTGGCCATGGACTTGAAGGATAGAAACCAGGCAAACCCAACCTCTATTCTCCTGTCGGCAGCCTGGCTTCTTAAGCACTTGGGCCTCGGCGGCCATGGCAGCCTTCTTGAAAAATCCATCTTTCAGCTTATTGCAGAGAAAAATGTTCGTTGGCTGTTTGCTTTTATAAATCTAGGTGAGGACTCCCGATTTTTCCGGTAATTCATCCACTGTCCAGTTTACCGATGCCGTGGTTGCAAAAATACTAGCCAACTAATTCATCGCAGCGCCTTGTTCTCTTCCATTAATAAACTTTAAGTAGCAAACCCGACATGCATAAAGACCGCAAAGTTGCACAACAACACCAGAACCTTTTTTTATTGTTTCATATGCCTGTTGAGCGGTCTTCAAGGCATCATTGGAGGAGATCCAGCACCCCGATTTGCGATATCATTTGCTTTTTTTCACCCGTTTGCCAAAGTCTCATCATAATAAAGACGGGAATTTGAACGTACCTTGGGCTCAAAGCTAGCATGGTTGTATTTTAGTTGGTGCGCCATCGCCATTGCGTTCTCGCGTTGTCACTTCATATTGCCACTACATTTGCAGCTGGCTTTTGGGCAAATAAAGCACTCTTCAAGCTTTTCAACCGATTTAATTTGTCAATTGGATTTATTCGACGCCCATTTTAAAGATGCTCACTTTACATCTGATCCATACAGAGATTACCGCATCCATCACTTTGAGCATGTCTTGACAACAACCATGTTAGCTTTATTATTTATCGCCGAGCAGAAATTCAAAAATAGGCCCAAAATCCCCTTCACTTGAGACCTTGCTCTGAAATGATACTGTAATATCTTATCGTTGACTTGTAAACAAAGGCCGAAGTAATGCCCAAGCAAATGCAACATAGGGGAATTTGAACTTGTCGCGGTGCCATTTGAAAAATTGCCATCCAAATTAAAATTTACTTTTTTGGCCTTTTATTTGAGGGGTGAAATTTTTTTTGAATGCTCTCAAATTGCTCATCAGAAAGAGGATCCTGATTCAAATCAATTGGGCCATTCTTTGAATATTTTCTGGCCAGGTCATTAAGAAAATAATCTGCCTGTCTTTTCCTGTTTGGCAAAACCAATTCACTTTTAGAAGGGGCTTGTCTCTTTTTGACCGGCATCAGGTTATGGTCTCCAGCATTTTCCTTGTGAACAGCCCTTTTGAACTTTTTGTCCGTTTTCTCGTGTTTCCGAATTCTTGAATTGCATGCCTTTTCGGTTGTGCTTTCAGAAAACTGGGGATAACCCTTGACCTCGTTTGATTCGATTGCTTCGCGTAAAATCTTAATCAACCGTTGCTGTGTTTCCGTGAAATTGGAGTCGCTAAACAGTATTTCATCCAAAACTTTATCCATATTCCCCTTGTGGTGTTTGTAGAAATGGAGAAGATCTTTTTTCTCCTCTTTTGAGCCTTAATAAAATTAAACGCGTAAAAGTTTACCTTGGTATTCTAGCCTTACCTTTTCAATGGCATCAATCGTTACTGAAGTGAAAATTGAGTTGAAATATTCCCTCCAATTGAAATCGTCACAAGGAGATATGGATGGCTCACCAGAGTATTCCCCAGTAAGGTCATAGGCGCGTCTACTAGATTCGCAAGATAAAACTTGATATGCCACACCCAGTTCTTGGAATTTTTTCGTTGCCTCTTGAGAACCAATTGATGGATTAGCAGAGGCGATCTTGTCGGGATGAAATAAAAGCGCCTGCTTATAGTAAGCTTTTTTTATCTCACTAAAAGAGGCGTCTTTTTCAATCGATAATATCGAATAAAGCGATTTGGGAATAGGCCTGACAGGTTGATCTTCGGTTTTAAATGATGACCTGGATCTTGTCATGACAAAGGGCAAGTTTATTATTTAATTTACGGCAAATTTGCAATTTAATGAATTTCTGGAAATTGAGAATTTTTTAACTGAATGTTATCTTCTTGCGTTTGAGAGCGCAATCTAACATATGAAGATTGAATAAACGATTCTAAACATAAAGCGCATATATTTACCGTTCTGCTTTCCAATTGAGAGCGAAGACAATTGTTCAATGGCGGATGTGGCATTTTCAACCAAATTCTCCTTGCCCTGGGTCGTCTAAAATTGAACAAATTGGCGATACGCTTCCAATTGACAAAGATATCATCCCCGTTTCTCTATTGAACGCATACGATGATGAGTACGAAACATGTGTCAATGCTTCCTTAAAATTATCAGTTATCGTTCCTAAAGTTTGTTGGCGACAAAGATCAACATACCTGATTTAACTGTGGGCATTAGACCTTTGGGCCCGAGGATCTTTGCCACCTTTGGTAACAGATGGACCATATCGGGGGCACAAATTATCCTTGAAAAGATTTCTTTTCCCGATAAAATCTAAAAATGATATCCAAAACGCTACGAGCTCGACAATGTCCTCGGCGCCAACACATTCAGCACCGGCAGCCTTTGCTGCCAGGGCAAGGTCATCCTAAATAAGAAGGGGGAAAAATACTTTTGCCAGGATGGCGATTTTAACATTTGGATCAACAACATGCGGAAGGATGATGGTTCCTTTTAAAGAGGAAGATTGCCTAAAATAAAGAATACGCCATACTTGATATTCGAGGGATTGCAGATAAAGTCAATGGAAACAAAATCAGAAAACACCATGAGCCTGTTAATAGCAGCTGTGAGCAGCTCGCCTGGATCTGATGCAAGCTGGGATAAGACCCTGGTATCAAACTTGAAAGACTGGGGAATATCAATCCCATAAATAATCTCGAATACACTTTTTCGCCTTCCCGGCTCTTGTTTCCTTAGCGATGGGTGGTTAAATGGAATACGAGATGCAATAACGTTTTTGAGTTCACAACTCCGCCTTTTAATTACTTTTACATAAGCTCTGCGGGAGGAAATCAAACATAATTTCTCTGCAAATACGCTCATATAAATGTGGATTATCGGTTTTAAATTTTAACTTTAAATTTAAAATGCAGCTAAATTTTGGTCGCCTTTTCTGCATTAACCAGGACTGTGATTGGTAATCAAATCGTGAAGATTGACCAATAACACACGGTTAGAATCTAACCAATCGAGGTTTCGATGGCCAATGGATGAAAGCTTATAAGAGCAGAACCAGGCTTTTTCGTATTTGCTTCTAATGGTAAAGCTATGCTTCAAAAGCGCTGTTTTTCTTTTTATAGTTGCCTTTTTTTGCCTATCTGTAACACTAACCTCTGCTAAGAAACCAAATAATGGTACGGACTTGCATATTAAAAGAGGGTTGAGAAAAAATCTCGAAGAAGAGAGAAATAATAAGCATACTTCAGCTTCTACAGAGAAGAAGCCTACAGAGGAGGATGAGTCTACAGAGAAGAAGCCTACAGAGGAGGATGAGTCTACACAGAAGAAGCCTACAGATGAGGATGAGTCTACAGAGAAGAAGCCTACAGAGGAGGAGTCTACAGAGAAGAAGTCTAAAGAGAAGAAGCCTACAGAGGAGCCTACAGACAAGGAGTCTACAAAGAAGGAGCCTACAGAGAAGGAGCCTACAGGGGAGTAAGTCTTTCAACGAGGCATAATAAAATATTTAACTCGGAATAAAAATATGACAACTATCTTGAAAATCAAGTACCAAAAGTGGCGCTAAGATCGCGGTAGAAGCCACAGAGGTGCTGGATTTTCTATGGAATTCTCACTTGCCACCTAACCCTTTAAAGCCGTCCACAAGTTTGAAATAGCGATTATTCATAATTCATCATCTAGTGATGGCAAATAGCCAGGTTAAGGCCAAATTTTAATTTTTATGAACTCGTCATCTCAAGTTTGTCATCAATTTTCTCACATCGCAATCGAAGAAAATTCCAAGCGTGAAATACCCCCAATGGAGACCGATCAACAGGTTACGCCCTGGGATGTTAAGGGTGCCGTTGTTGACGGCGAAATCAAGGCAATCGATTATGAAAAGCTGATCGTCCAATTCGGAGTGTCGAGGATTACGCCAGATCTTATTGAGCGATTGGAAAAGGTCACCGGGCGACCTGCTCACCATTTAATCCGTCGTGGAATCTTCTTTGCGCATAGGTATTTGTGTTTCCATAATTAAAGGGATTTGTCTCGGATTCTCGATCTTCACGAGCAAGGAAAGCCGTTTTTCCTGTACACAGGAAGAGGCCCCTCAAACGAATCGATGCATTTGGGACATGCCATCCCATTTATATTTTGTCAATGGCTACAGGAGGTTTTTGATGTTCATCTTGTCATACAACTGACGGACGATGAAAAGTTCCATTTCAAGGAGCACTTGACGCTCGATGACGTTAAACGATATGCAATTGAAAATGCCAAAGATATAGCTGCGTTTGGATTCAATCCGGAGAAAACGTTTATCTTTTTGGATTCGGAATACTATGGCTACATGTTTGATACAATTCTACGTGTACAAAAGTGCTTGAATTTCAACCAGTGCTCGTCGGTGTTCGGGTTCGACCAAACTACATCCATCGGAAAGCTCTCCTATCCCTGTGCAGAGATCGCCACAGCCTTTCCCGGTGCATTTCCTCATCTTTTTGGAAAA